AGACGTCTGCGACATCGATCCATGGATCATGTTTTGGATTGCAGTAAGCAGCTGCAGGGCATAGCGATGCGCATGCCGCGAAAGACGACACATGACATTACAGTGCTAGGATGGAAACAAAGCAAGACCAAACACGCACACACACACACAGACAAACAGACCTTTCTCCCTCTCCCCCCTCTCTTTCTTTACACACACAGACATACCCAGAAACATGCCAAAGAACATCAAGCCTAGTTCCGCATGCACCCACGACGCAAGGTCTGCAAACACCCCCATTCATACATACAAAAGGACGCATCCACACCAACACTTTTTGCTATTCCTCAGGGTTCCGCAAGATAACATTTACTATAAGATATTCCCCAATCCCTCTTCGGCCCTTTTTCAATTCTTGAGGCCCCGGTATGGTTGGGTTAAGCTTTCAACTGGAGAGGTGAGGCCCCAGCTGCATGGATCCCATCGATAGGGGCACCAAAGTCGAAAGGCAGCCTGACACAAGCTCCGAATTCATAAGGACCCCTGGGGCCTTACTACTTACTACCTATAATAAGGTTGAGGAAGTATGACTAATCCTGGCTAGACACCAGGATAGGGTGTTGAAAGTGCCGTGTAACTGTAATGCTCTGTAGTCTTGCCTATGGCCTGTGGACGCCTGACTAGATTTTGAAACCGGCTGTGCTTTGTCTTGCTTCTGGTAACAGTTGCGGGAGTTCGGTTGTCATTGACGACATTTCGGGTTGTTTTGAAGTTGGGTAAGGACTAGACCGGGATCTCTTAGTAGTTGCTGGCACCCAATGCCCTAAGTGTAAGGAAGGGCCCTTCAATAAGAGTACCGAAAATATATGACTGGCCAAGCCTCGACAGCTCCCCCGCTGTTCGGATCTGGGACTTAGACGCCCCCATCTCAAAATTGTTCGAAACCCTGCCCGAGGTCTCTCTGAACTTCATAGGCGAGCAGAACACGCATCCCCGACTCTTCCATCCTTACCTGCTCAGACCCATCTTCAAAATACAAACTCAGGAAGCAGATCTATCTCCCTTCTCCTGCACTGCAATTCCCAACCCGGATCAGAACGGTTTACACTCGGCCTAAGGGCCCTTTTCTAAACCCTGAACCGTGCCTGAAACAGGCTGAGCAAGAGCTGTGGTCCAAGCTTTGGAGCTGGCAGCAGGGGCACGGGGGCGTGGGCTTGTGTGCACGGGGGCGTGGGCTTGTGTAGGGCGGCTTCAGCTTACAGCCATGGTGGACCAGAGTATCACAGTAGTTCTAGCATTAAAAACAATGATAACAACAATAGTAACAGCAATGACAAGGTTTTCACAACACTAGTAATACTCGTAATCAGAAGAATAAAGATAAGATAGGTCCTGCAGCCATAAGAAATCTGAATGGGCTCTTTCCCTCCTACTTGGCAAGGACGAAGCCCGCCATGGGCTGAGATTTTGGGCTTCGGACGGTCCAGGGCTACGTAAACGGTCGAGACGAGAGGGAGATTTGGAGCGACAGCCGGTTGCGGGGGCCCGAGAAGCTTCAGAACTGGATTGCCGAGGCTTTTCGAGGTGCCAGCGTTGAACTAGGATTTTCTGAAAAAAGCATTTTTTCTGGGGTCCGTTTGATGAGGATCAGAATGGGGATTTGGTTGTTGAGGGTACATCTGAAACGGAAACTCACAACTCTGAGCCGGTGCCTGCATGCACTCCGCCACCTGCGGTGCTTCCGGTGCTGTGCGGCAAGGCCCAAGTACCTGCCACTCGCAGATCTCGTCAGCAACAAAAGTGGAGTCTGCCATCTGTCTTGTCTCTACAGGAAAACGGAATCCCTGCGTGATATTTTTCTTTTCTAGGTACCAGCACTTGTCTGTTTATTTAGTCGGAATCAAGACTTTTTCTGCATGTGTGAGTTAATGGAAGATGAGATTATGGATCGCCCTCAACTTGTTTCAAACACAGCCTGCAAGACACAATACAAACACACGCGAAGCAGTACTTAGTACTGACTTCCCTCGCCTTAGAAATACATGTGCTGTCATGTGTCTTCGCATTCATCCGCCGCAGACGAAGAGGCCCCGAAGGAACTACGGGGCTCAGACTAAATTTCAAGGGGAGCTAGGAGCCTTTGGTCCTTCGTCTGTGAAAACGCTTCTTGCGGCCTTCGAGAATTCGCCCTTGCCGGAGATGGCCACAGCCCGTGCGATGAAGTAGTAGTCTTGTCCTGACACAGCGCTTGGGGCTTAGAGCTTTAGAGACAAATCCAAGCAGGAACTAGGTAACCCCGGATGGTAGCAGCAGTGGTGGCAGCAGCACTAGCAGTAGTAGTTGTAAGTCGTAGTCGTAGCCGTAGCCGCAGTCGTAGTAGTAGTCGTAGTAGTCATACTAGTCATAGCAGTAGTAGTAGTAGTAGTAGTAGTAGTAGGAGGAGGAGGAGGTGGAGGAGGAGGAGGAGGAGGAAAAGAGGGAGTTGTAGTAGCAGGTGTAGCAGCAGCAGTAGCAGTGGCAGTGAAAGCTTTGCTTTAGGTGCTGTTGCTGTTGTTGTGGTTGTTGTGGTTATCGTTTGTCGTTGTGGTTTCTGTTGCTGCTGCCGCTGCTGTTGCTGCTGCTGGTGCTTGCTGTTGATGTTGGTGTGGTTGTGGTCGTTCTCGTTGTTGCTGCCGCCGGGCTTCTGTTCCGAGCCTCGTGTCCGTAAAGACACGAGAAGGTATACTAACGACGCGGCCAGTTGAACATCGAAGACGTCTCAAGCCCTGCCATGTATGTCGGTCCTGGCAGGAGGTTGGAGAGGGTCAGCCGCGTTTTCGGCACCATCACCGGAGTGTACATGGAATCCTGCACCCGGAAAAATGGCATGTAAGCTCCACGTGCAGGGCTTGAGGACAACTCCACTGGCTCTGTTCGCAGGAGGGAGTGCACCTAAACCGTGCAAGTTGCCACTTATTCGGACAATGCTTGTGGTCGAGTCTGGACCAAGATGCCTCGCAGTAGAGCTCCGCAAAATTGTCGTTGCCGAGTGGCACGTCTTCCCTGGGTCTCTTTGTTAGGGTTTCGACTCGCGCACTCGCTCAACACAGGCACGGCTTCAGGAGGTGGCATTGCTGGGTTTAGGGTTCAGGGACAACCCTTTATCTTGAAGTTGCATGATGTAGTGGCCTTAAATAATTAGAAAAAGGGTTTGGGCCCATTATACGATCATCATAGAGAACCGCCAAAATAGTATAGGTACTTTATTGAGGCCTCTGTAGTATGGTCTTCCTTGGAACGGTTTAGCTAGCAAAGGACACCCTGAAAAATTGCAAATTATTTCTAAGTACCCCTAGGTAGATACTTACGGCCACACTCACAGAGCACCTCCCTCCACCCCGAACGAAGGGCATGCAGATCTCACTGACGAAGAAAACCCACACACATCGGCAACAGCAGCCCAAAAACCATGGTTGACCGCAGCAAGGGGCTAGTCTAAGTCCTTGCCAGTTCAAACTCCAAACCCTCTAAACCCCAAAGTACCCATATCTTTATCACCCTTCATAACCCTTAACGCGCACTAAATTCCTGAATGCTTGAAGCCCCAAGACTATAAAAACAGCGTCCAAGCTTTCAGCCAAGTTCTTGGTAGTCCAGAGTCAAAACAAAAACAGGAGGCAAAGGATTCAAGGGGTTTAGGGTTTAGGTTTCCGGGGTTTAGGGTCTAGGGGTTTGGGGTTGTCATTGTCATCGTCTAAAGACATGTGTAGCTGTAGCTAGTGGAAGTGGAGGCAAAAAGAAGATGCGACAACGAACCGCAGCCCAGATCCTACTGCGCGCATGCCACGCACGAAGAAGTAGTTGCGAACTGTTTCACTCTCCCAGGCTCGACAAACATCAAATGACATCAGCATGCCCGAACGCACAGGAGAACCCTAATGGAGCATCAAGCCTTCGTAAAGCCACGAAACCTAACGAAAGATACGAAAATTGCAAAAGCCGAGCACCTCCCCCGACGCCAAATAATATAGCTGCAAATCGCACTTTATGCCTATCAAGCCCGGCGCAGAACACTGACCTGCGGCTGACAGGACAAGAGGAAACCGGGTCAGTAGCTCTGCGTCATCTTTGATGGCATAGCCTCACTCCGCACGAGGTTTTGGGGGCACCAAAACAAAGGGACCATCCTGAAACCCCCTACCAGCCCTTACCCAACATCGTAAACCCTAAGTTTAAAGCAACCCTTGCTTCCGATTCGGATCCTGGGGTCCTCCTCCCTCCACCTTACACGTTAACACTTCGCAACAGGAGTTTGAGGTTTAGTTGAGGGGTAAAGCTTCAGGCTTCTCCCACGAAAGTTCGCTCTGTTATCACACTATAGAAGCTTGGATAATTACGGCTATTACACCTTGGGGCCCATCACTGCAAGTCTACTCTCATAAAGTTTTTATCTTGATTGTTAATAAGCCCCCTGTATCACCTACCGTAGGGATTCTGCGGGGCTCTTCCAAGATGCGCAAGGTTCAGCAGCTAAACAGGAGCCGACAACCCTTTATCTTGAAGTTACATATGGGGGTTGCCGAAAATCAGGGGCATCTTGTTTTGATGTCCTCATAATGAGGATCCTACTATTCAGGGTGCTATATCCTGAAGTTACATGTGGAACTGTGAGTAAGCGAAGCTTTATTCAAATTGAAAGCCAAAAAACATTTAGGCTAGAAGTGACCACCATGTGTATGGCGATGCTGGCTGTGCAGCTTGACAGTCTGAATACTCACAGCGGATAGGGACATGAAATTCAACATCACAGCCTTCTGCTGCCCGTGCCGCCCAACAAACACTGACCGTTCCAAAATAATTACTTTGAGCTGTTGAGGCTCCAAGCCAAGGGCTAGGGTGCTTGCAAATGCAACGCGATACGATACGAGTTCAAACCTTGCAGAAGCCGAACGCAATGGTCTCAACAACCTGCGACCCAGGACTGCGCTCCAAGGTGGTTGTGCTCTTTTCCTGGTGCCGCCAGAAAATGCCGCGGCTCTCCGTCACTTCCCCACCTGCGGCCGAAAGCTCAGACAGCGACCTTCCCAAAGACTCCAATATCCGTTAAATAAGGAATATGTTCCTTAAATCACACTGGATCCGACCATAATTTAAGGTATGTTCCTTTGATTGAGGGCTATTGGAGTCTCTGGGCTGTTCAGAAGATTGACGGCCCTGGTATTCTCTGGTATTCTATTCTGCTCGGGTAGGCCCTATGTCTTTGAACTCCTGGTTCATGCGACTGGCACGGAAGATGCAGGTGAACCGGCAAACCTGCAAACCCTCAAGCTGAAGAAAGGGCTGCTCTTGAAACATCCCGCCTCGAAGGATTTGCGGTATATGTTTTCGGTTTAGGGGTCATTGCCTCCTCCTGCTGCTCTAAGTCGGAAACTGAACTGAACCAAAAACGAACGTCTAATCTAGCCATGGGCAACTAGCCCAAGGAGGAACAGTCGTGAGCATGTCTCGGCACAATTCCCTGGAGTTGAACTGCCAGGTCGGAATAGGCTGAAAAGCGACGTAACCCGATGAGCAGCTGGCGAGGGGCTTCAGAATCTGAATCCTGGTTTCTGCCTGTCCACTAAACAAGAATGGATGTATCCACGCACACCTTATAAGAACAAAACCACCCTCCAAACTCCAGGTCTCTATACTTTGAGCTTATGGGCACTTTATCGATCAGAGTTCCCTGGACTATTCCCTGATGCTTCTGTACTCGAGACCCTGGCTTTTGACACACGTCCACAACAGCGAAACTGTAAAGCCCCAGAGTCTCGCATCCATACGCCCCTCTACTGTTTCTCGAGTCCGCCTTAGTACTTAGAAGAGGGTTTGGGTGATGTTGTATATACTATATCTATATATAATGGATTTTTTGGGGGGAGATTGTCAGCAAATGTACGACGCCCCCCTGCCTTCTCCCGATAGGATAAGAGGCGCTTGAAGCTCTGAAGCGCTTTCTGCGTGGCTGCATTGTCCAGTAGGGAGCCCTGCAAAAAACTGCTCGGAATCCCTACTTGGAGGTTCATGGGTAGTTATCAGGGTTCCTTGAAGGGTCCCTTTAAAGGGATCCATAGGGATTCCATGAGGGTATAGGGTTTAGGGTCTATAGGACATCGGGTTTCGGAGAGGGTGCTGGGGGCTTGAAGCTGCTTCATGGAGCTTTTGAAATCCCAGAGTCCCTTACCAAGGATGTCAATCTAGGGGCCTCAATAGTTAGAATAGGGTTTTGGGGAAGATTCTACTACATTTATAATAAGGAACCCCCAAAATAGTTTAGGTAATCATTAAGGCCCCTGGTGGTATCCTTGCATACTGCCTTGAAGGACAAGCCCTGCAAAGAGTTGGCAACGCTGTGGCCAGAAACTTGTGCTTGCCTTGGCTTGCTCTGAATGTGAGACTGCAAATCCGAAGAACGTAACAGGCCATCGAGTTCCTGGAAACACAGAACCTTTGAGCGCCAACCATAAGACTGGTTACTTGGATGACTGTCACCCAAGGCCCACGCCCGGCCCAATCCCGGAAGGTATACAAAACTGAGGGGTAGGACTGGACTCCAGTTGCTGGAGGCTGTCAAAACTTCAGCACGGCCCACAAGGCCACTGAAGCGTTTAGCCCCTTACATGCAGCAAAGGACGACAACCGTAGTATACTTTGGGCACTGTCCCCACCCTGTAACAGGCTATATTTGGGGTCATAATGCGGGCTATGTACAATTAATCATAGTTATACTTGATGGCTTTACCAATATTACCTAACTGTTACAGCATAGGGGCAGTACCTAAACTATAATGCACGAGCACACACAACGAGTCCGAAGCCCTAGATCCAACTCGCCCGAGCCTCCAAGACAGGCCCAGGTCAACCCCATCCCTTGAAGGGATCTATATGGTAGGAGTTAGGATTACCTAAACCCCCAACAATTCCTGTCAAAGGCCATTATTCTACATACTTTGGGGGTCCAGGTAGGGGACCCTTGGTGGGGATATAGAGCCTCTCAGAAAGGTCCCGTTTTGAGAGAGCCAGAAGAAGGGCTACACAGGGTTCCCTTTCAAAGGGTCTCCCTAATCCTACCTACGAGATCATCCTGCTGTGCTGATACTTGCACATTTTTTAATTGTCTTCCACCCTTGTATGCAGGGGCCAGGGTAAAAAGAAGTAATGACTTTAGGGGAAATTATTGCGATCGTCCTGGACCTCAGAACAAAATCCCAAACAAACCTCAATCCCCCGGCATAGTGATATAGGATATACTGGGTTGTAGGGGGATTAGTCCCGGGGTAGTCTTCCTCTTGCTTCAAACCCGAGAAACCCCCAATCCCCTCCTTGTCTTCGATCTTCCGCCACTTTTGACCCCACATGCGCTCGTTGCCCTTGGGCTCGTCACTCGAGATGTACAGGAGGCCTTGCGAGGCTTTCGGGTCTCTAGGGCTCCATGAAAGGGATCTATAGAGTAGGGTTCCATGAAAGGGATCTATAGAGTAGGGTTCCATGAAAGGGATCTAGAGAGTAGGAGTAGGGTTCCATTGAAGGGATCTAGAGAGTAGGGCTCCATTAAAGGGATCTATAGGATTCCTTTCAGGCTGTTCGCCTCCTACATTACATCGCAAGGACGACAACAAATACCAGCAGCATTGACTGGAGCTTCCTCCCAAGTTTACTTTTAAGGGTTACTTTTTTGTTAAGAGCTCGAAACGGGGTTTGGAGTTTGGGGGTTCCGGGGTTCAGGGCGTTTGGGTTTGATGGGGGTCGGCGGTTACCGGCTTGGATATTGGGGTTCCAGGGCTCCAGGTCTTGGTTCACGGTTGAATCTAGCTACAGCATAAGCTTACAGTCTATGGTGCAGGGTTTCATGGTGGGTTGCAGGTGTTGAAATAAGCTGTACGGCCTAGACTCTGCAATGGCATTGCAGGCATCGGTGCTTTTGGGGACTGTGCACGGCAAAGTTCAGCCCAAGCATCGAGCCGGGAGCAGGCAAGGGTAACACGCAACATGAATGCATAGTCACGCACAGTCCTACAGAAAAGTACGTACACACATGCCGTGCCATTACATTGAAGGTCATACGCACTTGCCAAATTGCAAACAAACAAACATATATTCATACCTGCCTACGTACGTGCATACATACATAAATCACCTCTTGATGAGACTCAGACCCATAGGCCCCATAGTATCCCCATAGTTGTTCCGTTTGGGGGCTCATATTTAGAATCCTATCAGGTACTTCCAAAAAGGAACCACTATGGGCCTATGGGTAATCTAATCTGTCCAGGACTGGCCTCCGGTGACCCAGGTCTTGGAGCCGTGGATCAAATCCAAGTAACCTCGAGATGACTTCGAGGCCTCTAGCAGGACCCCCCCCAATGGCCCTTTAATGCGCCCAATGGCCCTTTAATGCGGACCTTTTGGGTCCTTAATAGTGGGGATTTGGGGTATAAGTTGGGGGATCTGGGTACAGGGACCTTCATGATTCATAGTTCGAACATGGTTTAGCGGGTTCTCCGCCGTGTTTTCTGTACGTAATACTACTATAAATATATAACACCAACAACCCTAAGGAATAGGATAGGTATTTAGTCGGCTGCCTTAGCGGGCTTTGTCGCCCCAGGGTTGAGGGCTTAGGGTCCACCTCTATGTTTTTTCCTCTCGCATGGCTAGGGATCAATGCCCACAAGCGAGGTCGATTTGGAAACTTTGCCACAAGGCACTTCAGCAATGGTTTGGTGATGAGGCTTCATGGTGTTGGGGGTTGGGAAGTTCGGGTGTCATGTTTCTAGCTTATAGTTCCGGCTTCGGGTTTCGATTCGGGTTTATAGATCAAGAGCATGTGTTTTTACTTGAGGTACGGCCACTTCGAGTGCAAATTGATAATAAAAACATCATGCTGGAAGCATCGATCAAGAGCCACCTCAGCCTCCACAGCATGCATGGGCTTATGCCGCCTTTGCTGAATTTAGATGCCTAAAGACTTAAACTGGGGGGTTGAGTGCGCGCTTTGTTGCATTGGCAAGACTCAGCTGAGGATTGTCTCGAGAGGGGTTCAGGTTCGATTTGGGTAATTCTCTTAACGAGGCTCGCTTTGGAACTTGCTTTTTACAAGGGCGCCGTACTAAGTTGGGGACCCAAAAAGGGCTCTAATTGAGAGAACAACCCATTGTAGAGTGTTCAGGGAGCCCCAACAGAAACCCATACAGCCACTAAATCCTAAACCTAAAGAGCATCACAGTTCTGAAAGGATGTCTAATCCACACTTGACGAGCACATCCGACCCAACCATGCCGACGGCTCCACGGGTTTAGTAATTCAGGCTTGAGGGTTTACAGGTTTTTGCAGATCCGTTGCCCCTAGGATGGCAGCTACTAGGGCCCCCAAAAAAGCACATAAGCAAAAATCAGGATTGGGATATCCCGTATATAAACCCCCTTATAATGAAGCCCATTGAGGTAGTGATATCCCTTTAAAATGCTTATTGCTGAAGTGCATGCCTCGTTTGCAGCTCATGCCATGTGTACATGTCTGTTTTTCCTTCTTGCTCGTAGGCCCAAGCACAGAAAGCCTTGAGCATGCTTTTAACATCTTTTAACAGAACACATGTACCATAGTTGTAGGTGCCACGCCCAACGTAGCACTAACTTCAGTCTTTTGCTTGCGTGTAAAATCTCCGCCTCTGTGTGAGCCATGTCTGGGAGTTCTGGTGCAGGGGAATTGATCACTCCACTTGTATCTTATTCCCAGCCTGCTGGTTCACACCAGCAGGTTATGAGCCCAACGCTTGGGCAGGGCTATGGCACCACAGCAAATCCATCCCCACCTCCCGGGAGGGATGGTATTCAGACAGGTTCAACGCCAACACTTGTGCATGGCCAAACAGGTGGAATGGGTTTTGAACCTATGGCTACGGGAGGGGCACTTGGAGGCATAGACCAGACTGGGGTTTGCGCAGACTCAGGGGGAATGCCACAGGTGTCGACTGCCACTGTAGGCGGTGATGAGGTGCAGATGGTTGTGCCGTTACCCGGCAATGTCGCGCCGGGCGGAAGCCCAGGGCTAGAGGCCAGCACTGGCATGTTAGGTACCGCGAGTGGTGACGCAGAGCCAGGGGGTAGAGTAGTCGCTGGTGCTTCCACGCAGGGGTTTGTGACCCCACGATCGCAACAGGGATTGCCAACCATAGCTGAGATGGTTGAGGGCTTCCCTAGTACAGGGCTCCAGCTTATGACGCGAGTTGGGGATTTTTTCCGTGTTGCGCGCACTGAGGTGGTGCAGGTACCCGCAGTGTTGCAAGGCACACACGCCACACCACCACGAACAACAGCATCACATACCCGTGATAGTCCGAGCGGTGCTTCAGGGCCCAGGGCCTTGGGAGAGGGGAGTTTGGGTTCTCATACGAGCTCGCCACCACAGTTGGGAGCGCATGGTACGCCAACATCCTTTGCACCTCCTCCCGGAAGGGATGGCCCTTTGTTGAGCGCGGACATGTTGCAGCGAATGCAAGCTTTGGAACAGAGGGCTCCTTTTTTGTACGCGGGTATGCCCGAGAGGCCCCAATCAAGAACAGATTCATCGTCTTTGCCTCAAGAAGCCATTCAAGCTGAGGTTGCAAGGCAGTTAGCGGGGTTTGATCAGCGAGCGCAGGCTCAGGACCTAGAAATACAGAGGATGCGGAGGCAACTGGAGGAGGCTGCACAAAGAGAGCGAGCCCTCAGGGAGCAAGTAAGGAGAGAAACCGTAGTGGCAGGTAGTGCCCCGGTAGTTCCAACAACCCGTGATGAGGTTCCCAGGCCGCCCCTTCAGGATGCACAGCTGCACACTCCGATCGCGTATCAGGTCCATGATGCCGCAGCCCAGGCGGTTGAGGCTTTGAGAGCGCCCGCCCAAACAGCAGCAGCAGCAACTTCAGGGTTATGGTCTAACTTTTGGTCGGGGTTGCAAGGTTCCCAAAGGTTACCTGGCAATGCGACGCCACCCGGAAGGGTTGGGCAGCCCAGTAGTGCAACAGTCGGTGTGCAAGGGGATACCACCTCTTCTGGCCCAGAACCCCATTCTCGAGCCGAAAACCCGGGTTTGGGCCAGATCAGGGCTTCGGGCTCTGGTTTCCAGTCAGTTGCTGCCGCTAGTGCCCCAATTCCCCAGGCTTCAGCTGCTCAGGCCAGCACGGCGCCAGTAGGAGCAGCCAGTGTGTCGCCGGGGGGAACCCAAGGCCCTCCCACATCAGGTAACACCGTGCTTGATGCCGTATTGTTGGGAGTGCAGCAACTGCAAACTTTGCAAGCCCAGCACCTTAGCACTAGCAGGAAGGAGGATGTCCCGGAAACGGTGAAAACGGGCATTACAACCTTTCCCAGACTAGCCCCACCCGATCCAGCTGGAGGCTCGTTGGACTTTCAGGATTGGTTGCAGCTCATTGCGGGCTTGATGAGTGACTTTTCGGATTCTTCTCAACTTTGGTGGTCAGGGGTAGTTCAGGTAAGCAAAGATGCGTACGATAAGTGGGTCGTCGCATCCCCCATCGAGCGCTTGACGCTTGAGCCTGACGAGAGGCCAGAGCTTACAGAAGGCAAGTGGGGGAGAGTGAATGCACGTGCATGCGCGATGCTTTTGGATGCCCTGGACCCCACAGTGAAATCTGATATCATTGCCCGTAAGGCGAATCAAGCTGCATCGCAAATCTTGTTTAGATTGTACACGACCTACCAGCCCGGGGGAATAGGGGAACGCAACCTGGTGTTGAGCAACTTGCAGAATCCCCAAGTGGTGCAGGATGCAGCCTCAGGTGTGTCAGCATTGAGGGCGTGGGGACGGTGGTATCAAAGGTGCATAGACTTTGGTATGAGTTTGCCGGACCCAATGGTGTTGGTGGGAGGCCTAACCTCAATGACAAAGCCCGTCATCTCTAAGGAGCCGGAGGTTTCATGGCGAACCGAGATGGTGAAAAGTGCACTGCAGTTGCATGGTCGACCCTCGGAAGAGGCGGTCAAATCCTACCACAAACATTTGTTGGCCGAGTTTGAGACTTTGGCTGGAGCTCATGTTGCCAAAAAGGGTGGATCAGGTAACCTGGCATTGAAGGCAGCTGGTGTTGCTGGGGATAAGCCGGGAAAGGGGAGTGGAGGCAAAGGTGGAGGGAATGCCAACACATGCAAGTATTTCCTTTCGCCGAAGGGGTGTAGGTTTGGGTCCAAGTGCAAAAGCCAACACTCCATGAACGAGTTGTCTAAGGCGGAACGGTTTAAGAAGTGCTTGAATTGTGGTTCCGAGGAGCATCGCGCTAAGGATTGCAAGGCCGGTAAGGCGGAACCCGTACAGGCAGCTTCCACATCCTCGGGCCAACCCGTTGTCCAAGCCACGCCAGTGCTCAACATGGAAACCTTCATGCAACAGGCAGTCCAGGCTTTGAGGCAGTTGGAGGCCAATCCACCGTGCAGCGGCACCACGCCGCAAGCCCAGCCGCCTCAACCTCAGCCGGAAGGCTTGAGTACTGCATCGCAGCAGCCCTCAGTGCCACCGGCACCGGGTGCGCCCGCATCGTCTGCACCCAATCCTTCGGTGAAGAGGCTGACGATTCGCTCAGTCGTGCCCGCAAGCTGTTTCCCGGTTTCGGGTCTCCCAAACCGGGACTCCCAACCCCCCCATCAGGAGGCTCCAACCCGGGGGTTGGGAAATGCCAAAAATCAGGGTTTGGCAAACCCCCATTCTCGAGCCGAGAATGGGGGGTTGCTTGAGCCCCCCAAACCCATAGCATATGCGCTTTTGGACTCTGGGGCCACCCATGCCATGAGGCAGGCGATGGATGAGGAGGAGTGGGAGGCCGCATCGGAAGTACAAGTGAGTTTAGCCGGCGATACCACCACAACAATGCGGCTCACATCCTCAGGTACTTTGCTCCTGCCTCCCGGGAGGGATGGCCTAGTGCAGCCAATAGTCCCAATGGGCGCAATCATCGAGCAACTTGGGTATAGATTGGTTTGGTCAGCCGGTAGTTGCAAGCTGTATCCTCCTGATGGTAAGTCGTTGAGGCTTAGGGTCAAAAACGGTTGCCCGGAATTGGTTGAGAGCCAGGCCCTCACGTTGATATCACGGTTGGAGGAGCACAAAATGCAACAGGTTGAGGAGCTCAGGCGAAGGACGGATGAGGGGAAGGATCGCATCAGACAAGCGAAAATCGCGATGCAGCGCACATGGTGGGATCATTTGGTTGAGCATGTTAGCTCGTCAGCGCCAGCAGCGGGCCACATGGCAGTATCCACGGCGCCATTCTTTCAGGATGTGCCCGATCGTGCATTGTCAGGCCTACTCCCATCGGAAGATGTGGACTCCAAGACTTTGTGGAAAGCTCTTGAAGAAAGTATGCCAAACCTCAACCGGCGAAGGAGGAAGGCACTTCATCGAGCATCCAATTGGGTTGTTCACTTGTTTGCGGGCCCTGGCTCGCACAAGGCTTTCAAACGATTGGAGTCGCAGGATACAGTTGTTGTTGAGCTTGACATTTGCCGCTCAAGGAGCCAAGATCTTTACCATGATCCGCTTTGGACGCTTCTTGCTAAGGTTGCAAAGTTGGGACGAGTTGCGGCGGTCATTGGAGGTCCACCAACCCGCACGTGGTCCATGTCAGGGCACCGCGCTGATGGACCACATCCACTCCGCTCGCCCACTGAACCGTTTGGCCTGAGCACTCTCACCTCTGACGAGCGTGATCTCGTTGATCGTGATACGGGTTTGTATGCTCGCATGTTGTGGTTGCATGCACTTTCCACCGCCGGGAGGCGTGTGCACCCTAACCCGTCGGATGGAACATCCATGGTGGCATTCATGTTGGAGCAACCGTCGGTTGAACACCACATGGCTTCAAGCCATTCTGCTGTGGGTAGCGCCCCGTCGTTTTGGAATACCGCGCTGTGGCAAACTTACGCTGAAGAGGCTGGTTTG